ATCTCCTGACGTCGTGATCTGCCCGCCTCTGCCTCCCAAAGTGCTGGGATTATAGGCATGAGCCACTGCGCCCGGCCAGAAGAGATGATCCACTTCTTACAGACTTCAAGATGTGATAAAAGGCTTGGCACTTGAGGATCACTTGAGTTCAGGAATTGGAGACCAGTCCAGGCAACATGGCAGGAGCTTGTTTCTGCAGAAAAACTTAAAATTAAAAAAAAAAAAAATTAGCTGGGCATGCTGATACACACCTGTAGCCCCAGCTATCCAGGAGGCTGAGGCAGGATGATTATTTGAGCCCAGGAGTTCAAGGTTATAGTGCACTATGTTTACACCACTGCATTCCAGTGTGGAAAACATAGTGAGACCTGTCACCAAAAAAAAAAAAAAAAAATAGGAAAGAACAAAACCCGGTCAGGCACGGTGACTCATGCCTGTAATCCAAGCACTTTGGGAGGCCGAGGTGGGTGGATCACGAGGTCAGGAGAGCAAGGCCATCCTGGCTAACACGGTGAAACTCCGTCTCTACTGAAAATACAAAAAAATAGCCGGGCATGGTGGCGGGCGCCTGCAGTCCCAGCTACTCAGGAGGCTGAGGCAGGAGAATGGCATGAACCCGGGAGGTGGAGCTTGCAGTGAGCCGAGATTGAGCCACTGCACTCCAGCCTGAGCGACAGAGCGAGACTCCGTCTCAAAACAAACAAACAAAACAAAACAAAAAAAAGGAAAGAAATAACAAAACCCTAGCAGAATGTTGCCCATAGCTAGTCTTCACTCAATAATGCCCATTTGGCCACACAGTAGCTCTCAGGAAAAAAACATTAATTAGTTCACCGTTAAGAGCAAGGAAACTCACTCATTAGCTTTAGGTCTGTTTTAGGGCAGATGGCGTAATTGTATAAAATATCATGGAGTTATTCAAGAAGCATTCACTGAGAATGTATTCTGTTCATGTTCCACCCTACTCCTTCTACCTCGGTCTTCAGCATTCTCGTTTTCCAGTATCCTTATGCACTGTGCCTTTATTTATTTATTTATTTTTTTGAGACAGAATCTCACTCTGTCTCTCAGGCTGGAGTGCAGTGGTGCCATCTCAGCTCACACCTCACTGCACCCTCCGCCTCTTGGATTCAAGTGATTCTCAAATTTCAGCTTCCTGAGTAGCTGGGATTACAGGCACATGCCAACATGCCCATCTAATTTTTGTATTTTTAGTAGACACAAGGTTTCACCATGGTGGCTAGGCTGGTGTCAAACCCCTGGCCTCAAGTGACCCGTTCACCACTGCCTCCCAAAGTCTTGGGATTACAGGCATGAGCCACCACACACAGCCTGCTGTGCTCACTTTAAATATGGAAATACTGGTATTTTTGCTGGTGTAATACTATTGTTTTGGCCTGAATCTGAAATCTGAATTATTTTGTATTGAGACTATCCATGGAGTTCTTTGATTCACTAAAATTCCAAATTGAACAAGGATACACTTAATTAATTTAAAAATAATTTTTCCAGTCTGAGTGCAGTGGCTCACACCTGTAATCCCAGTACTTTGGGAGACCAAGGCAAGTGAATCATTTGAGGTTTGAAGTTCAAGACCAGCCTGGCCAACATGGCAAAACCCCGTCTCTACTAAAAATACAAAAATTACCCGGCTGTGGTGGCGCAAGCCTGTAATCCCAGTTACTCGGGAGGGAGAATCACTTGAACTCAGGAGGCAGAGGTTGCAATGAGCCAAGATCTCACTACTGCACTCCAGCCTGGGTGACAGAGCGAGAGACTCTGTCTCAAATAATAATAATGAATAACAATAATAATAATAATTTGTCCATATTTCACACTTCTATACTTTACTATCTTCAAGAGTCAGAAGATAACACCGACAAAGCAGAGCATCTGATGCAATAATAATTTTTTTTTTTTTTGAGAGGGAGTGGGGAGTCTCCCTCCGTCGCCCAGGCAGGAGTGCAGTGGCACAGTCTCGGTTCACTGCAACTTCTTTCTCCCGGGTTCAAGTGATTCTCGTGCCTCAGCTTCCGAGTGGCTGGGACAACAGGCACCTGCCACCATGCCCAGCTAATTTTTGTATTTTCAGTAGAGACGGGTTTTCGCCATGTTGGCCACGCTGGTTTCGAACTCTTAACAGGTGATCCACCCGCCTCGGCCTCACAAAGGGCTGGGATTACAGACGTGAGCCACCACGCCCAGCTACTGATGTAATAATAATATACTTAACTCTGGTTCAAAGACTTTTTGAAGAAGCAGATGAGCATGACAGAATTGAAACTGATTTTGGGGAATGATTAAAATCTCCATCTAGATCAGGCACAACGGCTCACACCTGTAATCCCAGCACTTTGGGAGGCCAAGACAGGCGGATCACTTGAGGTTAGGAGTTTGAGACCAGGCCAGCAAAAATGCTGACACCCCATCTCTACTAAAATTACAAAAATTCGCTGGGTGTGTTTGTGTGCACCTGTAATCCCAGCTACTCAGGAGGCTGAGCCACGAGGATCACTTGAACCCAGGTGGTGGAGGCTGCAGTGAGCCACGATCACGCCACTGCACTCTAGCCTAGGCAACAGAGTGAGACCCTGTCTCAAAAAAAAAAAAAAATCCCCATTCATACATTATGAAAACAAAAGATCAAAAGAAAGCAGAACGATTTTTTTGGAACAAAACACACTGCCTGCTGTCAATAAAAAGATTACAGTCTTAACCTTTCCCCCAAGAATTCTGTCAGATAATCTCAAAGTTATCAAAATGAAATGGGATTATTTAAAGATGAAGGGCTTAAAGAAAAATATTTGGCCAGGCACGGTGACTAATGCTTGTAATCCCAGTACTTTGGAAGGCCGAGGCTGGTGGATCACCTGAGGTCAGGAGTTCCAGACCAGCCTGGCCAACATCATGAAACCCCATCTCCACTAAACATACAAAAATTAGCCGGGCAAGGCGGCGGGTGTCTCTAATCCCAGCTACTCGGGAGGATGAGGCAAGAGAATCGCTTAAACCCAGGAGGCGGAGGGTGTG